TGGGGGGAGGGGGCTCTGCCTTGTCCCCACGCAGAGCAAATGAGGCGCCTGACTGCAGCTTTGCTGCGCAAATGGGAAAGTGGAGGCACTCTACAGCGATGGCAGCAGCAGAACGAGCTGGCTTCCGAGCCCCCTGAAACAGGGAGTTCAAACTGCCTGCTCCCTGTCATCCCTCTCCTCTCCCTGCTCCTGTCTGGCCAGACCAGTAGGGTCTGTGTTGTGTCCCATCCCCCACCCCCAGCACTGCTGTGTCTGTCCCCTTACCTGCCTCCTCCTGCCCTTCTTGGCCTTCCCTTGACACAGGAACTGACTATGCTGGCTCACAGGCATCCCTGCCATGACCTGCTGCCTGCCCCCACCAAGGCTCTGTGTTGGTCCTTCGGTTACCCCAACCAGATGGGTACTGGGAACGATCCTCTCTTTGCTCATTAGAAAAATCAGGTGTCTTGAGTCTCAGCTTTGCCACTGATTGGGTTCTTAACCCTGGGAATATTACCTCCTCCGTCACATCGCCTTTGCCCCTGCTAACCCTAAGTAGCAGATGTGGGAGTGGAACACTTGCCCATGTTTGCCATTTTCCTTCTGCTCAGAGCAGCTGTCCCTCTTGCTGCTAGTCAAGGCTATTCAGAAACAAGTGAAACTCAGCAGCATTGTCATAAACCTGTTCACAAAATGGTAGGGTGTAAAATGGTTGCAAAATGCCTCCAAGGGACAACAAAGCCATGGGGGTGAGTGGCAGCTTCCTGAGAAGATGCTAAATAGGGATTGGGAGACATCCCACTCTGCTAGAGATGCTCTGAATAACTCCATGAGAGTCTTTTAGCATCCTAGTGCCCCAGCATCAGTGTCACAGTTTGTATATGTCACTTAAGACACCATGCTTTCACTCTGTGCCTGTTCTATCACTGTCCTGTCTGCAGGCAGGACTATGTGCGGAGCGGTGGATCAGAGCTAATCCAGAGGAGATAAAGATTTGCTTCTCTGCTGCATTGGTGAGTTCCCTGTTCCAACCAGTTACAAAGCCACCTCTTCATGCTCGCTTGTGTCTCAACCCCCATCTGTAAAGAGGACTGAAGCACTACTTTGACTTTATGTAGATGGGTCATGGGCCATGGGCGACCAGGGAGAACCTCAAAGCTGTGGCAAGGGTACAATTACCAGCCTGCCACCACATCCTTCCTCGCACTCTGCTCCTGGCCACTGGCTGTCCCTGAAAAGAACTCACCAAGCTCCCTGAATTCCCGTTCCTACAGGTTCAAGAAATAAGCTTGGAGCTGAGTGGTAAATGACAACAGTAGTGACTCCCTGACAGCCAGAAACAGTTTTTCCAAGTAAAGCATGAGCTGCTCACATGCACATCAAGGGATGTCAAATTTGGACTGCAACCACGCTATGTGACGTGCCAGTACTCCAAAGTGATTTCATTGCAGGTCACACCAGTGAGGGGGACGTTTGCAAGGTTGCGTTCCTTGATTTGCAGGCGGGTGTGCAGGTATTCTCTGTCTTTTTGCGCTCTTTAGAGCAGCCTTTGAGGAGGGCTGACTAGCAGCTTGTCTGCCTTGCAAGAGAGAGGAAAGAAAGGACACTTGGCAATGAGAAAGATGGGGGGGAGGTGCAGGATGAAGCAGCCAGAGACTCTACCAGGCAACACAGGCACTGTCTGGGTGGATGATAAGATGAAGTTCATTTCTGGCTGAGCTGTCAGCTCTTCTCCAGCTTTGCTAATACCTTTCTCAGCCCCATGGAAGAAGGATCTCAGTGCCACATGGGGTATAATCCCAAGCGCAGCCTAAGCCACTGCAATCAACTAGAGGTAAGAATAAAACACCAGTGGCAGCCTGAGTTGCTCTCCCCTGCATACAGGGAAGCTTCCTGGTCCCAGAGGAGTTAGGCAGCATGAAAAGAGACCAAGGCCCTCAACCAGGCTCTGGCACTAGACCCTCTGGCAGGCTCCCATCCACCTATCTCTCCCACTCCTGCCAGGGCCTCTGTAAGCTCCCTGCTTCCCACACATCCATACTGCATGGGATACTCTCTTCTTCAGGTGGCTGCAGGAGGACTTTTGCCTGTACTGAGAGCTGACACTGCCATTTGAATTGGCTTTGTTCAGACACCGAGGCAGAGCTAGCAAAAATAAGTAGCGTGCATGTCAGTACTGACCATCCCAGCTTTCCAGAGGAAAGCTCCATCCTTCTGCCGCACAAGCAGCATTCATGGAGCTCAAGATTACTAGAAAACAGAAGAGTCTAAGCCACACATAAAATTTCTGTGCTGCACCTGCCACAAGGTAAGTTCACACTCAGAGCAACTGAAGCCATCCCTCTGAAATCCCCTCTGCTTTGGGATGGGTAGGTACTATGGGAGCAATCCACATGTTCACAAATGGTGCAGTGACCTTTTAGGTCCCAGAGAAGAGAGTCCAGCTCCCAGGTAGCAGCATGAGCTTCCTGCTGCCTGGACAGAGGAGAGGCTGCCATGCCAAGTGGGGTATTTGACCCATTCCAACTGTTGGGCAGTGCACAACAGGCCAACCAAAAGACTGCATCCTGCTTCCTAGACTTTATGAGCCTTTGGCACTTGCCTCTGGGGATACTTGCAACTGTACAGGAATGGTGTCATTACAGCTGTGGTAGCGTTGAACAGGTCTCAGTGTGATTCCAGGCAGCTTGCTGGCATCCCCAAATCTGCACTGATACCAGGAACACTTGCAGCCAGGGACCCATGCTCACACGACCCTTGCAGTGCTTCTGCTTCAGGCACTTGCACTGCTAGTGCTCCCCAGGGAGCACTTGCTAATTCCCCAGCCTGAAAGAGAATGCACAGGCTAGAGGTTGGTTTCTTGCACAAACTCTGTGATCTCCATGCTCATGGTAAGCCCACCATGGGCCACACACTCTGGTCACCACAGCACATCCCTACAAACACTGCAGAGGGGAGAAGAACCCAAACCATGTGTTTATTCCAGGGAAGCTGTGCCTGTATCTGTATGTGATATTCCCCCAGCTCCAGAACTCTGAAACATGCAGACAGATTTCTATGCCTGTGACAGAAAAACTGGTGTTTCCACGCCCAATCTCCCCTTCTGCTTTCAGTCCAAATGCTTATTTTGGGGGCAGGGGAATGATACAAAAAGTCCAAGTCCTGGGGAGAGCTGCCCTGTGAGACTTAGAAAGGGAATGTATATCTGGGTCACTGAACCAAAGCAGGAGTGGTCCCATCAGAGCTGTCCCCCTCAGAAAGTCCCCACCTAGGCACAACATGGAGCTGTGTAGTAGCTGTCACTGCCAAAAGTATTTCCAGTCCTGTGCCTAATGTGCAAGGTGTATTCTATGAGCATGTACCAAAAGAGCTGGGAGCAGGGGAGGACTAAAACTCTGCATGTCAGTATCGGGGGAGCAAACAGCTTGTCCAGCTGGTTGGTTTGGGGCTAGAGCCCCGTTGCTGGGAATGAATGTCACACCCCTCCTCCTATCACCTGCACCAGCTGGGAGGTGGAGATCGTGGCTCCATTCTCCCACAGAGGAGGAAGCTGGGGACAGATGCCACCCTCTCCTCTCCCCCAAACCTCACCTACAGCATCATCAGTCCAAGGCAACATCTGAACATGGGCTGCAGATTCATTCCAGGGCCAGAATGGGGGAACAGGGCATCCCTTACCACCAACCTAACCCCACCTGTCCTCCAGGCCAGCAGTGTCCAGAGGAACCTGCTGAAAAGCATGTGGGTCACAGAGCTGAAAACGGGGCTCTGTATCTCCTGTGAGCCAACAGGCCCATCAGCCAAGCTAACAGGCTAAGCAGTGTTTCTCCAGTCTCTCACATCTTTCCCTGTGTCACCCCAGGCTCCAACGTCTCACGACACAGAATAACAGAGCACAAGGACTTCGTGAGCTTGGCTGGGTACCAGAACTCCTCCAACAGTTACCAGTTCAGCCCTGCAAGTGTCATTGTCCCTGTGGTCTTCTCCCTCATCTTCCTCCTGGGCACAGTGGGCAATAGCCTGGTGCTGGCAGTACCGCTGTGCAATGGGCAAATGGGCCACAACACTACTGACCTCTTCATTCTCAGCCTCAGCCTGGCTGACTTCTTCTTCATTGCCTTCTGCGTGCCTTTCCAGGCCACCATCTACTCCCTTGAGGGCTGGGTCTTCGGCTCCTTCATCTGCAAGTCTGTCCACTTCTTCATCTACCTCACCATGTATGCTAGCAGCTTTACTCTGGCTGCCATCTCTGTGGACAGGTAACAGTCTAAAGATGCCCTTGGGCTGGGGAATGAGGGCAGTCTCAGAAGCTGGGCTGAGTGAGGGCATGGGAAGATCATGGCCCACCACCTTTAGGCAGATGGTTCAAACCCCAGTGGTATTGATCCATGCCAAAGGCAGTTTGGGGACCAGTTGTGTCTCCCTTGCACACTACCCCAAGCAGCACTTTCAGATGTCTCAAGTGCAAAGCTGGTGCTGCTCCTGTCTGCGCTTTCTTGCAGGAAAGACCTGCCTTGTGGTTAGAGCACTTGAGACCCAAGCTCAGCTCCCCACTGTACCATAGACTCCCACTGAGAGCCACCTAGCTCTGTATTAGAGATAGCACTCAGAGCGTAATAGCTATCCCCAAGCAACCATTTCACAAAAGCATCATGGGCAGGCAGCATGGTAAACAGAGGGCACTGTAAGGAGAAGCCACATAAATATCCAAAGGAGATCCCAGTCCTGCAGCAAACACATCTCTCATTCCCCAGGGACTGCCAGCCCAGCACAAAACCTGTCATCTAGCAATTCCTGTTCCCCACTGCCCCCAGCCCTCCTGCACCCTGTGCAGAAAGGCACCCACACCATGAGCTGAGTCCCTTCTTGGGAGGTCACTCAGGATACTCTGGCCCCAATTGGTGCCACCTACATTGTTCCCAAGGGGTCTGTAATGCAACTGTGCCAGCTGCCCCACTTCTGACCGGGCCCACACTTATGGTCCAGGATGAGGAAGAAGTCCCCACTGGGGTAAGCTCCAGCCTTGACTGCCACAGGAAACATGTCCTAGCCTGTCTTGCTTCTTGTGTTTGCTTCCAAGGTACCAAGACAAGATGGGGGCAAACAGCCCTCTGCAATGAGGATGTTCACAGCACTGCAGGCAGAAGGAAATTTCAGTACTAGGGATTATCTGGTATGGGTTAAATCCCAGCAAAAAGTATGGTTGGGCTACTCTTCCAGCCCCCTTTCACTTTGTCCTGCTCCCAGGTGTCAACTGCAGAAACAGGCACCTGGACTCAAACAGTGATCTGACACTTTAGCAATTCACCCACTCTGAGATGCCAGCATCCCCAGGCTGGGGTGAGGGGGTCATGCGGAATCCCTGACAAAAATATCCAAATCCTCTGGGATTCCAGTGGGTACACAGTTTGGCTGTTGTCACGAGGAAGACCCGAGATTTCTCATGGTCTAAGCCTCTTGCTTCCCTTCACCTACATCATGTGAGTGCAGTCTGCCTTTCTAGCCAGCTCAGAAACAGGGACCATATCTCAAAAAAAGGGACATTTTGGCAAGGTGCTAATGCCTGTGTTCTCCCCTTTTCTGGTGGCACTTGTGCGCTGTAGTGAAGTGCTCCACTCAAGAGATGGCTGCATTTCAGTGTGACATGAAGCGATTCTCGCAGAGCTGCTGCAGCTTTCAGGATAACAGGACAGGCAAGCAACAAGGATTTTGTCACATATGTGACCCTTCACACCAACTGCATGTCTTATCACCTGCTCTGCTGGCCTTACAGAGCATCCTTCTGTGGATGCTGGCAGGCTGAGGCTGTAGCAGTTCCACTCTTGTCTGTGCTGACAGCTCCTCTCCATCCCTTACCCACAGGCACCAAGCCACCTTCTCTCCTTGCTGACATCTACATCTTTGCCCTATGGTGTTGCCTGGAGGTGGGGGAGCAGAGCTGGTCATCACACCCTCTCTGTCTACTGTTGCTGGAGGGAGCAGACAGACTACCACTGCCTGCTTTGGGCTGGCCTGAGAAAGCAGACAGTACCAAAAGGCAAGGGCCCACCTGGTCCCTTTGGTGGAGGCAGCCACAGCTCCAGTGAGCAAATCTCCCCCTCCGCCAGGCTAATCTGAAAGCAAGAGAAGGCTGGAAATATGCCCTCAGTGGGCAGGAGCCTGCATGGTGCCCATCACCCAGTGAAGCTTCCCCAGGTCTTGAATCCTCAGTTCAGACCTCTTTCTGCTGGATAAATTCTGCCAAGCAGTGGATATCAGCATGGTCTCCACAGCACCATCTCTCTGGCCCTAGCTCATGAATGTAACCCACCCCATCATGTACGGAGGCATGAGCCAGCCTAAGCCTGTGGGAGGAGAAGCTTCTTGCTAGAAAGGGAAAAGCTGCTTTGCCCAGGACTGTATCTCAAAGAGGGTGTGAGATAACATGTAGGGCCACTGCTCAGGGAACTTCAGGAGAATGAAGGAAACTCTTGTTCCTGGAGTTTATGTGGCCAGACAGAGCTTGGCTGAAATCTCAGTGCTGGTTGCTTTGCTCTCCCCTCCAGGTACCTGTCCATCTGCTATCCGCTGCGCTCTCGGGAGCTGAGGACCCCCCACAATGTGGTAGCTGCCATGGCTGTGATCTGGGGCCTCTCCGTGGTCTTTGCTGGGCCCTACCTAAGCTACTATGACCTGACTGAGTGGGAGTCCAACTACATCTGCATGCCTGGCTGGGAGGAGTGGAGACACAAGGTCATGGACACCAGCACATTTGCCTTCAGCTATGTCATCCCAGTGCTGGTCATCAGCCTCTCCTACATGAGGACCATCACATACCTGTGGACAGCAGTGGACCCCCTGGAGGACATATCAGAGTCCAGGAAGGCCAAGCAGAAGGTAACACATTTTACACAGCACCCCCAAATTCAATCCTCAGGTATGGAGCAATTGCAGTAAGGTGAGCTCCATGATGACGAAGCTTGATTGCTAGTAAGCAGGGACTTACCTGTTAGCTCAGCAATTAGAACCAAATCGACACTGACCCAGAGAGGAAGGGGATGCTTCCTTCCTTGGGGCATCCCATGAAAAGATTTAAACCCTGCCAACCCCTGTGGCCCCAAGTGCATCTCTCCAGAGCTCAATCACCTGCACAAAGTCAGATCCCCATTGTGAGTCCAGGCACATGGACCACCAGCCAGCTCTACGTGGGGTTGTGTCTGGGTGCCAGCTATGGGCCAAACCCCACATGGGGCTGTGGGTCCCAGGGGTCCAGGTGCCAGCAACTGCAGAGACCTGTCCTGAGTGTGGCAGGGGATGACTAGCAAACCTCTGGTCAGAGTAGCCAGCAAATAGGACAGGCAGAGTTGTGAAAGGGGTGTTCCAAGCATCGAGCTCTAAAAACAAGATTATAAATAATTTTGAGCTGAGGGTACCAGCAAAGATGCCCCCTCCTATCTGTGCTAGTCTGTCTGTGGCTGTATCTGTGCATATTTGTGCTCATTCCTGTACAGATTCCTCTTGGTTTTACCAACTATTAAGTTATTTTCTACTTGTCTTCTGGTCATTCAGTGTCTGTGAGTCTGTCTGTATGTGTGTGCAATTTGATTTAGAGCTGTTTGTCAGTCTGTGTGATTCGATTTAAACCCCATCTCTGTGTGCAACCCTGCTCTAAGTTTTGGGTGACCCTTGCCATTCTCAAATCTTTAACTCTGTCTCTATTTTGATTGTAACAAATTCCATTGAGTTGCTCTGTTAAATTGGCTGATGCTTAAGTGCTGTTAAGAGTTATATAACCCAATTTCGTGATATATCTCAAAAATACTAATAAATCTTAAATTGCTGCTAAATCAAAGTCGTGTAAAAGTCATATTCGTGACAACTGCTTGCAATGCCTTCATCACCTCTCTCTTTGCCTGCAAGTCTCACTCTTTGGTTTGAAGGCTCAAATCAAATCAGGAGGTCTCAGACTTGACTCTCTGCTGCCAGGACGGCACTTCCAGCTCTGGCCTAAGCACCTCACTGCCAGGAGAGATCATCACCTTTCAGTGGATTTTGGACCATGCTTTATCCCTGTGTTTGTTTCTCCTGTATCATTCCCACATTAGCAGAGGGAGAATTATCTTTCCATTGTGCAAGTAGTCTATGAGAGGATTCATCTCCCAAAGAACTGTTCACAATCCCAGTTCAGTTCCCACCAGGAAAGGACATGCAGAAAGGTGACCATATTAGTAGCCATCTAATAGACTGATGCATTGTAATCAATTCATGCCAACAACTTTGACACATCAGAAATATTTTCCATTAGGGAGTATTCTCCATTAACAGAATTACTTCATCCTGTGCTCAAGCCGTCTCATCAACTGCTCTTGCCCAAAAACCAGAAACAGAAGACACTTGACAACAACGGAGAGACCTCACAAATTAGAGCAGCAGAACCTGGGCAGAATACACAATGCAGGAATATGTGAGCACAAACCCCTGTGCAAGGCCCATGTGAGCAGGCTGAAGGCTCTCCCACGTCACATCTCCCCAGTGCCTGCCAGTGCCACTGCCTCTGAAAACCGCCCACTGGATGTCTGAGCAAACGGACTGCACCCCTTAGCACAGTCCCACACTGCAGGGAGCTCTGCTAGCAGCAGCCCAGACCCCTGCACTCCTAGCCTGGCACACAGCCTGCCCCCAGCGCAGTCAGACACGTGGATGCCATGCCAGAGCACAGCCTGCACAAAGGCTGGAGACAGAGCAAGCTGTTTGCAGATTTTCTAATATTAGAACATTACACAGCTTGCTTCTAATGAAGTGTTCATCCTGACTTTGTGCTAGACAGCAAAATCCTGGTACTGTGTCCTGTATGGCTTCCTGCCCACAACACCTACCCATGTGCTTCCTGCTCGCACTAATGACTCCCAGCTGGCTGTTGCCCCAGAAAATAGCTAAATATAGAATAAGACAATCTTAGCTTAAATTTTTCCCAAATGTTTGGTGCTGTTTTAAATTAAGCCACTTGCATCTTTTCCTTGATGATTTTAGTGAAAAAGCGTTCCTGCAGAGAGATGATTTTAAAGCAGGGGAAGAGCTAAATGCACAGTTAAAACAACATGAGTTTTTCCCCTGAGCTTTGACTCCACCATGAGCTGCCGCTGTTGCGTACAGGACCCAGTACTGAGAAGGAGCAACCCCACTTGAACACCGCAGCTTGGTGATACTTATACTACCTGACAGCTGGCAGCACACTCCTGAAGGTTCTCATTGGCCCTCAAACCCAAGGAGCAGCAAGCAACTCTGCACAGCAGAACCAGCAAGGAGCGCAGGTTTGCTCTCACCAGGGAAAACTACACTTCAACAGTTTCCTTTACCCTTCTGCCATAAGCTGAAGAACTGCAACATCAAAACCATCTCTCAGCACAATGCTCCCATGACAAGCTATGCCTTTGAGGTGGGGAGAAGGCCCAGAGATGAAAAAGAGATTGCTACAGAAGAGCTGGGACTTAAGACCACATGTTCAAAACCCTATTTCAGTGGTTCAGAAGCACTGCCCTGCTCCCTGACATACAACTTGCATTGCCCCAAAGGCCCTTGGTCACGCTGACAACTTCAGCATTGTTGAAAATCAAATCAGAGCCTGATTTGAGAGCTGATGCTGACAGATATATGCATATAAAGGTCAGACCTCCTGATGCTCTTTAGAGAGGCAAGGAGAGAAAGCTCCTCCTTTCTCCCTGGGAAAGAGCTATGAGCCGAAAGCAGCACCTACCCTTGTGCAACCCCTAGCCCCACAGAACCATCTCAGCTCAGGGACTTGAAACTCTCCTCAGAAGCGCTCAGCTGCTGCACTGATCACAGGGTTAAATGTACTTTACTACATCTTCCCCTTTGATAGGAAGAGTCCCCTTAGTTCCTGTAAGTGCTGGATCAGGCCTGTTTATTGCCTTCAAGCAGACAGACCCAGTGGACCAGCTGCTTGCCCAGGCTTAAGCAACAGCATCCCCTTTTGACTTGCTTAGGACAAGTTAGTGGCATGGGACAAAGCTGTTCCCTTCCAGTGACACAAATACTCCCTGGGATGGGAATCTCTACCTTCACCATGCATCAATACCAAGCACCAGCTTGCCCACAAGCCACTCTGACACAGCTCACCCCACTTGCTCCACGGAGCTTGTTACTAGTCAAGTCCTCTGAGAGAGAGCATCCCCATTAGCTCAGGATGCTCTGCTGCCCCAGGGCTCCTTTGGGATCACAGCTACCTTCCTCCAGAAGACAGCATCTGTCACTCAGCCCCACAGGGCATTGCAAACATCTCCATAAGTGAAGCAGAGTTAAAGGCAGAAAGGCTTACTCCAAGAACGGTACAGGATTTTCAGGACTGCAGGTACTCACAGTGTAAGTCCTTCCAGGTTCCTCCCCGCCAGCGACTGCAGGAGTGTCCCAGGCCATAGCAAACTACACTTTGGACTCTTTTGTGGAGGGGGAAAAAACAAGACAAGACCCAAAACAATGCAGCCCTAGGACAGCTAAGACAAAGTTACAGTTACCTACCTCCACACTTCTGCAAGCTCTTCAGCCCTATTGCTCACAGATGAGCTTGTAAAAACTTGCCAGAGGGCTGTTCTGCATTCAGAAGTTATATCAACACATCACTTTTCCTAAGAAGGGGGTCACAATATCTACAGTCATCACTCAAAAGGTTTAAGGCTTACCTGTAGCAATGCAGAGCTCTGCTTGACCAGCCCCAGCCTGGGACTCTACCCCAGGCAAGGACAGGCAGCATCATGGGTCCATTACCTCCTCCCATCCTACACCACTCAGCACACAGAGCCTCCCAGCAAGGGCTGTGTTTCCCAATTAAGGGTAGACTAGACTAAACCATGTCCCAAAGTGCCACATTTACCCATTTTTTGAACACTTCCAGGGATGGTGACTCCACCACCTCTCTGGGTAGCCTATTCCAATGCTTCACTACCCTTTCCATGAAGAAATTTTTCCTAATATCCAATCTAAACCTCCCCTGATGCAACTTGAGGACATTTAAAGTAGTTACTTAGGAGAAGAGACCAACACCCACCTCACTACAACCTCCTTTCAGGTAGTTGTAGAGAGCAATAAGGTCTCCCCTCGGCCTCCTCTTCTCTAGGCTAAACAATCCCAGTTCCCTCAGCCACTCCTCATAAGACTTGCTCTCTACACCCTTCACCAGCTTCGTTGCCCTTCTCTGGACACGCTCCAGCAATGTCTTTCTTGTACTGAGGGGCCCAAAACTGGACACAGTATTCAAGGCGCGGCCTCACCAGTGCCAAGTACACGGGGACAATCACTTCCCTGCTCCTGCTGGCCACACTATTCCTGATACAAGCCAGGATGCTGTTGGCCTTCTTGGCCACCTGGGCACACTGCTGGCTCATGTTCAGCCGGCTGTCGACCAACACCCCCAGGTCCTTTTCAGCCAGGCAGCTTTCCAGCCACTCTTCCCCAAACCTGTAGTGTGGCATGGGGTTGTTGTGACGGAAGTGCAGGACCCAGCACTTGGCCTTGTTGAACCTCATACAGTTGGCCTTGGCCCATTGGTGCAGCCTGGCCAGGTCCGTCTGCAGGGCCATCCTACGCTTGAGCAGATCGACTCTCCCATCCAGTTTGGTGTCATCTGCAAACTTACTGAGGGTGCACTCAATCCCCTCATCCAGATCATTGATTAAGATGTTAAACAAGACTGGCCCCAAAACTGAGCCCTGGAGAACACCACTCGGGACTGGTCACCAGCTGGACTTAACTCCATTCACTACAACTCTCTGGGCTCAGGCACCCAACCAGTTTTTTACGCAGTGAAGACTATGCCCGTCTAAGCCATGAGCCGCCAGCTTCCTAAGGAGAATGCTATGTGAGACAGTGTCAAAGGCTTTACTGAAGTCCAGGTAGATGACATCCACAGCCTTTCCTTCATCCACCAGGTGGGTCACCAGGTCACAGATCAGGTTGGTCAAGCAGGACCTGCCTTTCATGAACCCATGCTGGCTGGGCCTGATCCCCTGGTTGACCTGCACATGCCTGTTGAGCGCACTCAATATG